GGTAGGCGGATGTGAAGCTCTCAGGGTCTGGCTTCCTTCTGGGGAAGGAAGAGGCCTCCCATGAACACGTGCAAGGGGGTCCCGCTCTCAAGGTGGGCTGTAAAACTTATGTCCTCTTTAAGGAGACATTAGGAGTCTATTAGATCCCTAATGTTACCTTTGCACTTCATTGAAGCTGATCAAGTACAGATCGTGCTTGATCAGCTTCCGGAGAATGATAGCTCAGAAACTGGAAGTGACAAAATCTGCATCGCTTCCAGGTTCAAAAGTCATTCAGGTACATCCCATCGCACTCCTGACCGGGTATAACCCAAGATAATGGGTGGGTGCTGAGATGACAAAAGATGCCTCTGCAGATCAGTATTACGTGGTAGAAAAGTCACTCACACTCCAATAAGAATGTCAGTCAATGTTCTTTATTGACAAAAGAATTGTCACATCGTATAGCAATATATTGACTGGAATTCGTATTGGAGTGCGAGCGACTTTTCTACCAGGTGCTTCCAGGTTTATTTGCGAGGGAGGAGATCAATGCTGGTCTGCCTCTGGCTCTTTCAGCTGCCACCCGCCATGCTGTTCTGGGCATGCAGGAGGGACAGTGAAGCCCAGAATACATGGTAGAGGGAGTAAGGCAGGGAGGGGTTTGGGCGCATGTTTGACAGCCCGACAGTCATCCTTGCACATGCTAAAGCAGCCAGCAGTCTGCTTAAAGGGCCCACTGCCGCTGATGCATGGCAAGATCATGGGCCTAAACAGTAGGTACATACTTGAATAACACAAAGCACATCGTGAGCCCCTACTTCCAAAGGACTCTTTGCAGCTGTAAACAGGATGGGATTGGTGCCATATTTATATCGCTCTTTACTCTCGTTTTATGGCATTGTTATAGGACATTTAATAGTGACCTCCAGCATGCATAGCTTTATTATCTCTCTATAATAATATTTAATTTTAGGCCTGACCTTGAATAGAGTTTTGTCTAAGAGACCCCGAAGAAGGAATATACTTTCATTAGCTTGCAACTTTTATGGAATGGAATGAACCTTGTGCTGTTTATCTGGTTATATGAAATGCTGGAACCTGAAGCACATTTGAACTTTCAGTTTACATTAGCTATATACATTACACATTCAGCAAAAGAAACAGTGTGCTTGTAGCTTACAACTGGTTTCTAGAAATGCTTGTCCCCTATCAGCAGGCTGCAGAGAAGGTAGAAGCTGTGGTCTCACTGCAGTGGTCCGACATGCCCCCTGCTCAGCCTGAACAATAGTTCTCCAATCAGCAGAGAACATTAACATTGCTGATTGCTGAGCTAAAGGCCGGGATACCAGTGTAGTGGTGACATTAACGCATTTCCGGGGCACGCCCCCTTCATCTGGGGGCGTGCCCCGGAAATGCGTCACCACTACACTGGTATCACCTAGTGGACATCTCACTGCTTGTCAGTCCTCACCTCATGACTTTGTGACACTCATGTTTGTGAGTATGATTCGTTTTTTTATTCATGTTTATTGAAATAAAAGTGATCTGCACCAGGAAAGGCGCCCCTCTTGTGCTTATTTCCTAGATTTCCAGCTTTCCCGGCTTCTTTGGGGCAGCATCCTGCAGTATGCCTAACAGCAATTCCCATTAAGGACTGACAGTCCGTGGCGCTTCACTGTTTTTACTTTGTTAAGGGTTCCACTCTGCAGCTGCTGGAAGGGGACAGGCTTTTCTACTTGAAGCTGACAGCTTTTTCCTCCATAATACTAGGTGAGGCTCTGCCTCCCCTGACCGCGCGTCCCTGGTTTCTCAGAACAAATACCCCTATGTGTTATCTCAATTTAGTCACGAAAGTGGAAATACAATTTAAAGTAGAAGTCCTAGCTAGCCTTTAAAGTAGAAGTAGCAGCTATTATATCCTGCCTCTAGTAGTAGGGGAGTGCCTCTAGAAGACTGATGTACAATCCTTACATTTAATAAAATAGTACAAATATGAAATAGCAAGCATTTAAAGGTCACATCAAAAAGGATTGTATGGTAAACCCTACAGTAATAACTGAAAATATACTTTACTGTCCCTTTAAGTGCTTCTATATACTCATTTCTGCCCAATATGCTGCTTTTCCGCTTGATGACGATCCTCCTACGATGACGGGATAGGATTATTTGCGCTAGTCTCTGGGTGGATTATGTGCTGGGCATTTTTCTCACTTCTCTGTAAACTATACATCTCCGCCTTTCATTTACGATAACCCTGCTTGTGAAATGCTGGCACAGGTCACACATTATTTTAATGACATGTTTCTGGAATGAGGTCTCGGCTATATATACTCACCGTGTGTCTAATAATAAGCACTCCTTGCTATTTGTGCGGGGAATTCAGAGTGACATCTTAATGACACCACGCAGAGCCGCACTCTGGGTCTCTTACCTACGCTCCAGTCTGTATTTTCTCTGCGCATAAAAATAGACCTGTGTTGGTGCTTACACCATTATTAAGGCCTTATAGACAGTAACAGGATTAAAGGGTGACTAGAACTGATATGTCTTATTTTTACCAGGCTGTGATGTGATTGTAAGTAAACAGAGGCCAACGGTGTGTGATAACCTGAAATCCTTCGGACAGGAAGCATGCGGTGAAATGAGGAGGAGAGCTGTGGGCAGTGACCCCTCTCCTCTGTATGTGTAGCTCAAACGTTTTTTGCCTATTTGTACGCTTTATTAGGGGTACAGGTGTATGACCAAATATAGGCATGTATCCATATAAGGTAAATTACATCACTGCACCCCACCCCTTACGTCAACCAGCAGGCAGGGAACTCCCTGCCCACGGCTGATTGGGTGGAATGGCTCCCTATCCCCAATGTGTTAGGTGAGGTAAGAGTATGAGCCTTATGGCACCCACTAGCGCTGGGAAGGTAACAGTATGAGCCTTAGGGGACCTACTACCACTGGAAAGATAAGATTATGAGCCTTATGATGCTCACTAGCGCTGGAAAGATAAGAGTATGACCCTCATGGCACCCACTAGTGCGGGAAAGGTAAGAGTATGAGCCTTATAATGCCTACTAGCATTGGAAACATAAGAATATGAGTCTTATGGCACCCACTAGGGCTGGAAAGGTAAGAGTATGAGCTGAATGGCTCCCACTAGGGCTGAAGAGGGAAGAGTATGAGCCTAATGGCTCCCACTAGGGCTGGAAAGGTAAGAGTATGAGCCTAATGGCTCCCACTAGGGCTGGAAAGGTAAGAATATTAGCCCAATGGCTCCCACTAGGGCTGGAAAGGTAAGAGTATGAGCCTAATGGCTCCCACTAGGGCTGGAAAGGTAAGAATATTAGCCTAATAGCTCCCACTAGGGCTGGAAAGGTAAGAGTATGATCCGAATGGCTCCCACTAGGGCTGGAAAGGTAAGAGTATGAGCCGAATGGCTCCCACTAGGGCTGGAAAGGTAAGATTATGAGCCTAATGGTGCTCATCAGTGCTGGAAAGGTAAGAATATAATTTTCACCAAAAACTCAGTCCCAAAGCTCGACACGAGACTTTCCAACACATACAAAAGTGCCCGTTCACACATGAGTGTAGTGTCTCAAAAAAGTACATGAACATCTTTTGGGACAGAGTTTGGCCCCAATAGACTTCAAAGGGAGTGCCTCATGTTTTCTCATGTTTTTCATGTGTTTTCTTACTAACTAAATAACTTTATTGGCTAAAAAGAATAACAATTAAAGAAAAAACCCTCAAGCCCGAAACAAGCTAAAAAAAAAGCCAGTAAAAGGACCAAAGACACTTAGCTCAGGTGAGAATGAGGCCGTATTGTTTTACTGCACTAACCTGGGGCAACCAATTAGATTCCAGTTTGCTGATTTTACGCTTACTGGTATGTGTACCTAGTCTGTGTATTGTGGACTTATTGAATCAGGTTATTGTTATCGCTCAGCGTCCTTTTTGGCTGTTTGTATATTGGTGGTCGCCCCCCCCCTAGGTGTCAACGAGGCCTTGTTGTTTTGATATGTACAGAGTGCAATAACCAATAGCAACCAGTCAGATTCCAGTTTACTGATATTACACTTATTTTTATGTGTACCAAATCTGTGTAATGTTGACTTATACAATCAGGTTATTTTTACCGCTTAGCATCCTTCTTGGCTCTTTGTATATTGGTGGTCGCCCCCCAGGTGTGAACAGGCCTTGTTGTTTTGATATGTGCAGAGTGCAATAACCAATGGCAACCAGTCAGATTCCAGTTTACTGATTTTACGCTTACTGGTATGTGTTCCTAGTCCGTGTATTGTGGACATATTCAGTCAGGTTATTGTTATCGCTCAGCATCCTTCTTGGCTGTTTTTATATTGGTGGTCGCCCCCCAGGTGTGAACAGGCCTTGTTGTTTTGATATGTGCAGAGTGCAGTAACCAATGGCAACCAGTCAGATTCCAGTTTACTGATTTTAAGCTTACTGGTATGTGTACCTAGTCCGTGTATTGTGGACTTATTGAATCATGTTATTGTTATCGCTTAGCGTCCTTTTTGGCTCTTTGTATATTGGTGGTGGCCCCCCAGGTGTGAATGAGGCCTTGTTGTTTTTATATGCTCAGAATGCAGTATCCAATCGCAATCAGTCAGATTCCAGTTTACTGATTTTACGCTTACTGGTATGTGTACCGAGTCCGTGTATTGTGGGCTTATTCTATCAGGTTATTGTTATCGCTCAGCGTTCTTCTTGGCTGTTTGTATATTGGTAGTGGCCCCCCAGGTTTGAACGAGGTCTTGTTGTTTTGATATGTGCAGAGTGCGATAACCAATGGCAACCAGTCAGATTCCAGTGTACTGATTTTACGCTTACTGGTATGTGTTCCTAGTCCGTGTATTGTGATGCAGCGCTCTCCTTTCTCTCCCTGGCTCTCTCTCTCCTGTCTATTTATATCCGACTCCTCCTCTCCTGTTCTATTTCAGTCGCTCTACTGCAGAACCTTCCACTTGCATCCCAGCGCTCACTAGGCAGAAGGGGGAGGGCAGGGTACGGGCCTAACTAAAACCTACTCAACACCTCGGGCACTGCCACCCACCGGCTGCGAGCCACGTCCCCTCTCTTCCTTGCCCATGGATGATGCGACCTCCGTGCCTACGCTGAGCCGCTGTTAAAGAAGAAGCCAAAAGTGCCAGAGTTGTTGGGAGCAGGGCAGGCGTTCTCGGGGAGTGGGGAGGGGGGAGCTCGGCTGGCAGCAGGAGAGGGGTCCGGGAATGTTGCTGCTTCCCAGAGCCCTGGCGCTGCCCGACATGCTGCAGACTATTTATGAGACTGAGCCCTGCGCGTCCTCTGCAGATGGTGTTAAAGGGCGAGAGCCAGCGTTGGAGCTCCTGAGCCGGGCACAGGAGCGCAGCATGCCCGTTGCAGGTGAGATGACTTTCCAGACTTCATTCATAGGGAGCCCCTCTGCTCTCCTGTAGAGTCACAGACTTCAATGTGTTCCTTGGTAGATGAGTTCCCATTGTTACGTGGCTTCAGGTAGTCGTTCGGAGTTTGGTACCTCCAGCATCTTTGTTCTTATTGTCTACTCTGCACATCAGTGCCGTGGCTTCGCCTGCATCCTCGTGCTTGTCCCTTGTGTCTGATTCACACTGCTTCATCTCCGCTCCTGCATCCCTCTGTCTGCCTTATATTCCATCTCCTTCCCTCATCACAGGGTAGCTCGCTGTAGCTTCATCGACGGCACATCTACGGTACAGAGACAAGTCAACTTTACAGTGCAAAAGTTCCATTGTACTCTCTGTATCGCACACAGATACCGTGGTGTGTATTTCTCTCATCCACTTCATGTACTGAGGTCTGGGCAGATAGCTGTCACTTCTCCAGAATGCATTGCTGCAATTGTGTCTCATTTGGTGGGGATATGTGTCTGACATTTATACACAGACATCTCATCTGCTTCTAATACAGAGACATCTGGACCTCTCACCTCTTCCCAGTGCAGCGACATCAGGACCTCTCACCTCTTCCTAATACACAGACATCTGGACCTCTCACCTCTTCCCAGTGCAGAGACATCAGGACCTCTCACATCTTCCCAGTGCAGCAACATCAGGACCTCTCACCTCTTCCTAATACACAGACATCTGGACCTCTCACCTCTTCCCAGTGCAGAGACATCAGGACCTCTCACATCTTCCCAGTGCAGCAACATCAGGACCTCTCACCTCTTTCTAATACACAGACATCTGGACCTCTCACCTCTTGCCAGTGCAGAGACATCAGGACCTCTCACCTCTTTCTAATACACAGACATCTTGACCTCTCACCTCTTCCTAATACAGAGACATCAGGACCTCTCACCTCTTCCCAATGCCGAGAAATCAGGACCTCTCACCTCTTTCTAATACACAGACATCAGGACCTCTCACCTCTTCCTAATACAGAGACATCTGGACCTCTCACCTCTTCCCAGTGCAGAGAAATCAGGACCTCTCACCTCTTTCTAATACAGTGACATCAGGACCTCTAACCTCTTCCTAATACACAGACATCAGGACCTCTCACCTCTTCCTAATACACAGACATCTGGACCTCTCACCTCTTCCCAGTGCAGAGACATCAGGACCTCTTCCCAGTGCAGAGACATCAGGACCTCTTCCTAATACACAGACATCTGGACCTCTCACCTCTTCCCAGTGCAGATACATCAGGACCTCTCACCTCCTCCTAATACACAGACATCAGGACCTCTCACCTCCTCCTAATACACAGACATCAGGACCTCTCACCTCCTCCTAATACACAGACATCAGGACCTCTCACCTCCTCCTAATACACAGACATCAGGACCTCTCACCTCCTCCTAATACACAGACATCAGGACCTCTCACCTCTTTCTAATACACAGACATCAGGACCTCTCACCTCTTCCCAGTTCAGAGACATCCGGACCTCTCACCTCCTCCTAATACACAGACAACAGGCCTTCACCTACAACACAAGGCAATCCACCTCAATAGATGCACACTCAGTAAGGTAGTACATACATGTTCAGTAAGGCAGTACATGTATAACGAATAAGGCAACACATGTATATTCAGTAAGGCAACACATGTATATTCAGTAAGGCAGCACATGTATATTGAATAACACAGTACAAGCATGTTCCGCAAGGCAGTATATATATATATATATATATATATATATAGAGAAGCATTATC